AAGAAAACCTGACAAAATATATGTGCCATAGGAAGGGCTATTTTGTAAGGTTGGCCTTCGCTAACATCTGGAAACTTGGTCCTTGGAGTGTACTCCTCATTCTCTAACTGGTAAGGTTTCACTGTGCCTAGATGGTGGTACAAAAGTATGGTTTATGATGAACGTTTGCTTTCCTTCTAAGAATTTGGAATTTTAGCACATGCGAGGCAGAGGGTGCCTTTGTGATCAGCACCCACTAAAAATCCTGGAAAGACTCTCTAATGGGCTAACTTGGGTGGAGTTGTTGCATTTCTGGTTCTGGGCAAGAGTATGTTGTGTGACCCATCATAGGTGGGAGAGAACATAAAAGAAGCCTGCATGTGATTTATCAGGACTGTCTGTGCAGCTTTACTAAGCTGCTGTGATAAGTCTTGCTCATGAGGACAATAATATCACGTCTGGTGAATCTTATTTTTTGGTACCAGGAATTGAACCCAGGAGCATTTAAGGATCGAGCCACATATCCAGCCCTTTTTATATTTTATTTAGGAAAGGGTATCACTAAGTCTCTTAGGACCTCACTAAATTGCTGAGGCTGGCTTTGAACTGGTGATCCTCCTGCCTCAGCTTCCTGAGCTGTTGGAATAATACTTGTGAGCCACCATGCCCAGCTATTTGTTTTTCTCTTTGATGTTACTTTTAGAGGTTATTTTATGTTAAACATTTTTCTGTTCTCTTAAAAATATTGTCATCATTTTTAGTGGCTGATCTCTGACGGGGCATCTCTTATTATTTTTTCCTTAGGGCTGTAATCCCCTTGCACAAACTGGTCGAAGCAAGCTGCAGAATCAAAGGGCGGCTTTGAATCAGCAGATCCTGAAGGCTGTACGGATGCGGACAGGAGCGGAAAACCTTCTGAAGTAGGTGTCTCTGGCTTCACTGCCTCAGCTGGGAGCCCAGGCCCTCCTGAGGCCTCTCTTTCCTGTACTCCTAGGACTGGCTCTTGTGTCAGCTTTGGATTCCCACCTCAGTTCTGGTATCTACAGCATGTTCTTTCTTGCTTAGTATTGGTTTCTTAAGTTTTAGGTGGAACACAATATCTTTATTTTACGTTTATGTGGTGCTGAGGGTCGGACCCAGTGCCTTGTGCAGGCCAGGCAAGCGCTCTACCACTGAGCCACAACCCCAGCCCCTGAAGTCCAGTTCTTGCCCTGGTGTGTGTTTTCCTTGTTTTCTGGACCTGATTGTTTTCTCTGCTGCCTGGCAAAGATCACTGCTTGGTAAATGTGTGCTGAATGGACAAGGGAGAGCGAGGCAGGAAGATGGGACTGGGGCATTGACAGTGTCCCCTTTTCTAATGAGAGGACCCATAAACCAGGCATGGTGGCACATGCCTGGGTCCCACTGACTCAAGAGACTGAGGCAGGAGGATTCCTTGAGCCCAGGAATTCAAGGTCAGTTTGGGCAACATAGCAAGGTCCTGTCTGAAAACCAAACAATAAAACAGTAAGTGCATGAGAGGGGTAACTTGCAGCCCTATGCCCTTGGAACACTCAGTGTTATGTCCTGGTGGAAAAATAGTTCCTTCTCAAGCACAGAACTCAGTGAAGCCTTACCCTTGCCTAAGCAGCTGTAAATCCTCCCCACACCCTTTAATACAACACAAGACTCTCTGCCAGCTTTCTTCTGTTTACTGAGCGCAGAGTTTCTTCTTCCTTCAAAGTTCTAGGGTAGGTTCGGTAGGTTCTTGTCCCCCTTGCTATCTTTTACAGTGGATAGTTAAGGTGGGTACTACACCTGCTGTCCAGGTAAGTTTGACAGGTAGATGCCTCTTGGTGCTTCAGGAAGAGATAGAGAGTACTTGCAGGAACCTGGAACCCCAAAGCCTGGCAGGGAAGGGGCTTAATTTGCCTGCTCAAAATTATAATTCCATTGGAGCTTTCCAAAACTTTTAGGGATTTCAAGGGTGGGGAGGGTGCAGGCATGTCTGCAAGGTTATGGATATTGGCTGTTTCCAATGAATCACCTTGACTGTTGGGGTCCGTGAAGAAATCAGGTTTCTTGGGAGGTTGTTGAAAAAAATAAATATGCCAACTTGGTATTTGAAAAAGAGATACAAGACTCCAGGACTCCCAGCTTCTGGTAGTCACAGACAGACAGGAATGAATGAATGGCATGATCAGTAACTTCACATACACTGATCCCCTGAGCAATCAGTAAAACAGGAAGAGAGTTTTCAACCTTGATCTTGAGCTAAATTCATTTCTGAAGTGGTTTGAAAGGTCTCTTGAGATATTAGGTAGGGAAAGAAAGATTCAGGACAGCATATTTTGTGTATGTATGGACATGAGCTCCTCCACTCTGCCCCTTGCCCCAGTGGTTCTAGTGGTTGAAACCAGGGCCTCACATATGCTAGGCAAGTGCTGTAATGCTGAGCTGCATCCCCAGCCATTTTATTTTTATTTTTTTATTTTTTTTAAGAGAGAGTGAGAGATGGGGGGGGAGAGAGAGAGAGAGAGAATTTTTAATATTTATTTTTTAGTTTTCGGCGGACACAACGTCTTTGTTTGTATGTGGTGCTGAGGATGGAACCCGGGGCCGCACGCATGCCAGGCGAGTGCGCTACCACTTGAGCCACATCCCCAGCGCCCCCGCAGCCATTTTAAACTTAATTTTGATATAGTTTGTTGCTAAGAAATAAGTCTGGCCTTGAACTTGTGATGCTCGTATTTCAGCCTCCCTAGTAGGACATATGCTTTTCTTTTTCTTTTTTTTAGAGAGAGAGAGAGAAAGAATTTTTTAATATTTATTTATTTTTTTGGCGGACACAACATCTTTGTTTGTATGTAGTGCTGAGGATCGAACCCGGGCCGCACACATGCCAGGTGAGCGCGCTACCGCTTGAGCCACATCCCCAGCCTGGGACATGTGCTTTTCTATATGCACAGAAGGGTAAAGAAAGAAACTGTTAGTAGAATTGGCTCTTGAGAACAAGACCCAGGGGAAAGAGGACAAAGACGACTTTTCTTTTTTGTTTATTATTCCCTTCAATGTTTGTACTTTTGCCAAGTATATGAATTACTTTTATTCATAATTTTTTGTTGTTAGTTCATTTTATTTATACATAATATTGGGGTTTATTTTGACATCATTATTCAAGCATGGAATAAAATTTGCTCTAATATCAGTCCTTTTCCCTCTTCTTCTCCTTGATCCCTTTTCTCTATTTTGCTGATCTTCTATTTATTTATAGCTTTAAAAAAAAAAAAGACTAGTGCATTATGGATGTACATAAAGGTGTTACTCATTGTGATATCTTCATAGATGTACATAAGAAAGTTGGGCCAGACTCATTCCACTGTTCCTCCCTTTTCCTGTCCCTCTTTCCCCCTTAATCCCCTTCCTCTACTCCTGTGATGTATCTTCTATTTTCATGGAAACCTCTCCTCCCCTTTTTTGCCTCATTTTGTTCTAGCTTCCACATAGGAGAGAAAACGTTTGACCCTTGAATTTCTGGGTCTGGCTTACTTCACTTAGCATGATGCTCTTCAGTTCCATCCAGTTACCAGCAAATGCCATAATTTCATTCTTTTTCTTTTTTCTTTTTTAAGTTGTAGATGGACACAATAACCTTATTTTATTTACTTATTTTTTCATGTGGTACTGAGGACTGAACCCAGTGTCTCCCATGTGCTAAGTACTCTCCCATTAAGCCACAACCCCAGCCCAATAATTTCATTCTTTGTGGCTGAGTAAAACTCTATTGTGTGTATATACTACATTTTCTTTATCCGTTCATCTGTTGATGGGCACCTAGGCTGGTCCCAGAGCTTGGCTGTTGTAAACTGGGCTGCTGTAAACATTAATGTGGCTGCATCCTTCTAAAATCAAAGATCTAATCTTTTGGAAATACACCAAGGAATGGGATAGCTGGGACATGGGGTGGTTCTATTTTTAGTTTTTTGAGGAGTCTCCATAGTACTTTTCAGAGTGGTTGTACTAATTTGTAGTTCTACCAACAATGTAGAACTGTGTTTTCCCCCCCTACATCCTTGCCCACGTTTATTTGTAAATCATCATTCTGACTGGAGTGAGATGAAATCTTTATGTGGTTTTTGAATTGCCTTTCCCCTATTGCTAGAGATGTTGAACAGTTCTTCACATAGTTATTGGCTGTTTGTATTTCTTCTTCTTTTGTGTGTGTGTGTTGCTGGGGATTGAACCCAGGACCTTGTGCATGCAAGGCAAGCACTCTACCAACTGAGCTATATCCCTAGTCCTCTGTATTTATTCTTTTGGGAA